TCAGATTTGTTATTGAGAACAAATGTCTGTCCATTTATAGAGGCAATTTATTCTATGGTAAGGGTTACCAGTTTAATGGCCTTTATGTTTTGGAAGATGAATCATCTAGATACAGGTCGATCTATAACGTTAGTACCAAGCGGTTTAAGCCGAGCGACTTAAATCCGACCTATCTCTGGCATTGTCGACTTGGTCACATCAATGAGAAACGCATAGTGAAGCTTCATTCTGATGGACTTTTTGATTCTTTTGATTATGAATCAATCGAATCATGCGATTCCTGTTTGATGGGCAAGATGACAAAATCTCCTTTTTCTAGAAAAGGAGAAAGGGCTACAGAGTTGTTAGAACTCATACATAGTGATGTATGCGGTCCTATGAGCTCACCCGCTAGAGGAGGTTATCTGTACTTTGTTATGTTTACTGATGATTTCAGTAGGTACGGTTATGTCTACTTGATGAGACATAAATCTGAAACACGTGAATTGTTCAAGATTTTCAGAAACGAGGTACAGAACCAACTTGGCAAGACGATCAAGTTGCTTCGATCTGATCGAGGTGGCGAGTATATGAGCCAAGATTCACTGACTATCTGGCAGATTGTGGGATTGCCTCACAGTTGTCTCCACCTGGAACGCCACAGTGGAATGGCGTGTCCGAGAGGAGAAACCGGACCTTATTAGATATGGTACGGTCTATGATGAGTCAGGTCGATCTTCCTAAATCCTTCTGGGGCTACGCTCTGGAAACAGATGTGCTTATACTGAACAACTGTCCAACAAAGTCGGTTCATAAGACACCATATGAGATATGGACTGGGAAGCGTCCCAGGTTAGCGTTTATGAAGATTTGGGGATGCGACGTTTATGTGAAACGTCTGGCTTCTGATAAGCTATCCGCCAAGTCTGATAAATGCATTTTTGTGGGTTACCCTAAGGAAACTAAAGGGTACTGGTTCTACAACCCATATGAGAACAACGTGTTTGTTGCTCGGAATGGATCTTTCTTGGAGAGAGAGTTCGTCTCCAAGAGAGTCAGTGGGAGTAGAATAGATCTCGAAGAAGTTCGAGAACCACAAGTAGTCAAAGAACCGAGTGAACAGGTCGAAACAGTTCAACATGTATCACAAGTTGTTGAGACAATACCTACTAGTAAACCTCGGAGATCTGATAGAATTCGCCAAGAGCCCACAAGATATGGTTTTCTTGTGACAGCAAACGACAAACTCATGTTGTTAGAACATGACGAGCCTACGTCGTATTCAGAGGCTGTGGCGAGTTCCGATTCCGAGAAATGGCACCAGGCCATGGAGTCTGAGATGCAATCCATGTACGACAACAAAGTGTGGACTTTGGTCTATTCGTTCAATGCAAGACTCAGTGTCCAAAGACACAGGATGAGCAAGAGCGCATGAGTAGGATTCCATATGCCTCGGCAATGGGATCCATCATGTACGCCATGTTGTGTACTCGTCCAGATGTATCATATGCATTGAGCATGACTAGTAGATATCAATCTACACCAGGTGAGACTCACTGATTTGCGGTCAAGAACATCCTTAAGTACTTGAGAAGGACTAAGGATTTGTTCTTGGTGTATGGCGGATTGGAAGACGAGCTCGCTATAAGTGGTTATACCGATGCTAGTTTCCAAACCGATAGAGATGACTTCAGATCGCAGTCAGGTTATGTTTTCTGCCTGAACGGTGGGGCTATCAGTTGGAAGAGTTCCAAACAGCCAACCGTGGCAGATTCGACTACAGAAGCCGAGTACATAGCAGCATCAGATGCAGCTAAGGAAGCTGTTTGGATCAGGAAATTCGTGGGAGACCTGGGCGTCATTCCTAGCATTGCAGATCCCATTGAATTGTATTGTGACAACAATGGTGCGATTGCACAAGCTAAGGAACCCCGGTCACACCAGAGATCCAAACACATACTCAGGCGATTTCACTTGATCAGAGAAATCATCGACAGAGGAGACGTGAAGATAAGCAGAGTGTCGACAGATGATAATATTACCGACCCATTGACAAAG